AGGAATATTAATCTCCTTCAGAAAGGAGAAAACATTTAAGGGACATTAATCTCATGATTCCGCATGCGCAGTTTCGGCTTCAACGACAGAAAATTCTTGGTCGTGGCGCTGCCGCTTCTTTCAGCCGTTGTGAAACGAAACGGCATTATTACGACGAAGTATTGCGGATGACTCTATACTTTATAACGGTGGTTATTAAGAGCGTTGCCAGCAATTTCACGGACCATTGCACCGGTGTGGACGGTTTAGGTAAACGCCGAGCGACCGTCATAAATTCAATTCCCGGAAATCGGCTACGTAATAATACATTATTTTATCGAGCTTGTTTTCACCCCACGAAATGTTATATCTGCACCACGGTATGTATCCACATATGACCAACTCCACATTCGTGGATGCCACATGTACATATGTATATGACAGAGCGTGCCTCCGTCGGAAATAGGCCGGTCTTGTCGGCGGTGGCAACAGTAAATTGCGGTGCCGCGCGCTTAACACTGTTAACGGACTACGACTTCGTTAGTCACCGTCGTCCGCTTAACCTCAGCAGTGACACTTCTCCAGTTGCGCCCAAAAGCCCGTTACACAAGAGGCTGCAGCTCTTTACCGCGAAACCAGCGTGATGACACGGTAGAATAAAATTAGAATAGATATAGAATAACCTCGGAAAAAATCTAGTCAATCATAGTTCAAAATGAAAAAAATTATCTCTCTCTCTTTCTCTTTCTCCCTCGCTCCCCCCTCTCTCTGCTTTTAAACGCGAGCTCTTCTGTCATCTGCGGCGAAGCGCGGCTGACTAATTAATTTGTGTTTTTTTACTTTCTATTTTTCTTTTTACCTTTATCTGCGTTACTTTTATTTTCGTTCTTTTTCTTTTAATAATTTTTCATTATTTCATTTGCATTCATCTCGTTTAATTCGTATATTTATTATTATATTCTTCTTTATTAGTTTATTATTTTTGTTAATATTTATTTGTAATTCTTAACTTTGTATTTTTCTTTACTTTTGTTTTCGTTCTTAGAGGGCTTGCCCTAGAACGGTAACAAAAAGACGCTGTTATCTATCTCTTTCTCGCTCTTGTTCCCACATATTACAGAATTCAAATAAAAAGACCGAAAATTAAAACGTGCAAGAACCAAAGGTAAATTTATCAACAATTAAGTCAATATAAGGCATCTTATTGTTAGTTATTTCAAAGAATCGGAAATAAATTAGGAAAAGGTTAACGCTATGGTTCTCGAATATCGAAGATTTGTGATACATTTCATCCCATATTGGTGGGATGAATAACAAATCGACCGAGATGGGAGAAGCGCCGTTTGTTGTGAGGAGGTCACGAATTGCGGTACGATCAACGATGGCGCGGTCTAACTTTGATCTTGTTTCAGGAACGGGCCGCGGATTTCGAAATTGGAATTCTCGGTCAGATAGCACGTATACGGTCTCCGGCTCCATTGGTTAATACAGTAATACCCAGCAGGTTGTGGATTCATCCGATCGGCTTGTACACACTAACGCGTACACATCGCAATGCCGACGGTATAATCGTGGAACGTGGAACAATTGCTCAGCACCTATCATGTACGACCGTGAGAATAATCATGTCGTTACGCCGCAGATACCAGACGGCCTCCGCGTCATTCTCTTTTCGCACATTCTCTCATCGTATCCTTCTCTCGCCTTGCAACAGCACGTATCATACATCTCCATGTATCCGCCATTTGTCACGAAATATTATGCATCGCGCGACCACGCGTACTCGACCGGCATAAGGAACACCGATAGATATGCTCGAGTTTGGATATTACTCGCTGTTTTATCGCCTCGCGCGGTCCACCGAGTTCGAGAGTTAACTCCGATCACGCTCGCGAGCTACCGAGCGGAGAGTTAGAAAATCGCTCGGCTGACTCTCACGGGGTCTAATGCACGATTTACCGGCGGGCCATGCGGAATCATAGATTATATAGTTAATATCCCAGAATTGTGAACTTCGATAATAACGAAACGTCTGTGTGACGAGTGTATTTTAGTTCTCTTTAACCGCTTGGGAGGACTTAGTGTCAAATAGCGTTAATAATTTTATTATTATGAATTCGATTTGTTTATATAGAATACAATGGTGATTTAGAATGGTGATTTATAAATACAATTAATGTAATCATAGGAAAAATTTTATTTACATCTATATACAATTTCAAATAATGCATGAGGCGTTCCGTTTCACGCATAATACGTATGATGTATTATATTTCATTCTTGTTACTCACCGAATGTTAAACAAGAATAAAATCATGCGCATCATGCAGCGTGAAAACGGAACGCAGCCTGAATTATTAATGTATAAGATTATTTCTTCCATCCTGCATAATCTTATTAGGATATCCGACACAAAAGATTTTATTAAATTCTATAACAATAAATAATGTTTCAGTATACTCTTAATGTACTGTGCAATACAAAAGTCGTATATTGTATTTTAAATTATAATTTATTTCCTCAAATTTTATTTTGCGTGGAAAGATATGTTCGATGAGAGGGAGGGAGAGAGGATACTCATCACCTCTTTTTCCGATGCATCAACCGAATTGCGGAAAATATGTCTACCTATTTTAATGCATTAATATTTAACTGCAGAGAGCCGCATCAACTGCACTCTCGCGTGCATATGTGAAATGCATTATGTGAGAAAGAAATTTTGTTCTGTAACGATATTTCTCGCGGCTCACATTTACGCCGCAATTAATGGAATTACACACAGAAGTTTCATCTCGGCTTTAAGCGCCAGACGTTCATGCCGCGCATGCAGGCGGTCATTATCCGGCAAAATTAAACCGTCCGTCGTTGCTGCACGAATTAATCGGTTAAGCGGGATAACGTCTGTATGTATTAATGCGTACGGAATTCGTTACGAATAATATATCCAACTATTTTCTTTCATGACCGCCGGCGGCAGCGCTGCCGCTGATAATCGCTTTAATTACGCAACGCATTCGATTATGCATTTCATTCTGTAACACATTATGTAAGTATGATGTACATTACAACGATTATAAATTTTAAATGATTATACAAAGTGCAAATGAGTGTGCACGCGCGCGCGCGCGTAATTAACTATGCATTTATATATAAAGCTCGTAACAAATGGCGACGTAATTATTGTGTGATCGGCTTTTCAGAATAGCTAACGGATTACAACATCAGATTACACGACCCCCTCGACACGCTCTTTTCTATCCCTATCGTTCCTATCGATTGCCGACTATTTCTGACCAACGTATACGAGAGCATGGAAACTCTATTAGAGACCCGAGAGAGAGAGAGAGAGAGAGAGAGAGAGAGAGCTGTAAAATGCATAAGCATAATGTACTCATTGTGGTTTACACGTAAATACAGCGCGTGTGGGAAGTCAGATAACACGAAAATGGCGGGTACCGACATCGTGAATTCCGCATTGGACAATCACATGGGGCTCTGATCAAAACGCGCGACATTCGTTTCGCGTGTATTGGAACGAGCCAATCAGGCTGATGAGGCGATAGATGTACAAACGCATGCGTGTCATGTATACAGAATGTTCACGAACTTCTTTTTGTGAAAGATGAATATGCGAGAAACGTGTACCAATTAATTGACGTAAATTTCAATTTCAATTAAAACTAAAATTATATTTGTTTTTTCATATTGAAATGTTAAGTAATATTTATTATTTATCAATTAATTCGTTCGATACGGTAAACGTGAAATAAAAGTAATAGCAAATATATTGATCAATACTCCAATTTGCCAGGAATAATGGTTAACAAAATTTAATCGATGCCAGATTTTCAGTGCCACCGTATGTTATTAATTAAGATTATAAAATTTATTAATTGAGATATTATTAAATAAAGATGCATATTATTAAAATCTTCAAAGATTATATAACATCTTAAAAATAACGCTAGTAATTGTACTTAAAATTTCCCATAACAACTACGGTTAGTCGTTCTCCGGCCGTAAAAAATATTTTTCGGATAACGACTAACGACATTTGCTACTAATATTTATTAACTTTTCCATATAATGATAAAATAATTCACATAATTTCTTTACACTAACGTGAATAATTTTTACATTGCCGTAAAAAATTTTTGTTTTAGAATTAGTGATTTACAATTACAATTAATGGTAATTTATTTGATTCATCATGCTAATTCAATATGTACAAGTGTTTCCTCTTTTTCTATCGCTCTTCTTGATCGCATAGTCTCGTAATATATTTTTTCTTTTAGTTTTAGATCTTTATATACATATTTAAATATTATGTATACATATGTATATGTATGTACCTATATATTTTTTATATATATTTATGTCTTTATAATGGATCTAATCCTTTTGTGAACGTGAACTCGAAAAATATAATATTAAACTATTATAATGTCTATTTTCAAGGAGTTTCTATATTAAAGCTCAACAGAATATATATAATTGACAAAACAAATCAATATTGTGACAACAGAATATCAAAACAAAAAAAGGGCAAATGCTCGGCATTGTATAAGCTCTTTTATATTTTCGAATGATTGTTGTGGATCAACTATCGTTAGCGAATTGCTGCACGTATGCATACAAAGCTGGAATAGAAAAAGCACGGAAAAAGAGAAAAAATCCGTAAACAGAGAATTCATTGTCGATAGTTTGCAACAGTTAACAATACAGCCTCTCGAACTACAGTAATATTGTAATCTACTACTACAGATTGTATACAAGGTTATGAGTTTATAACTTAAATGGTCATTAATAAATTTTATAAGCAAAAGAGTTCACACAAGTTTCGGAATGCTCGGCTTTAAATATGTAGATGTATACCTATACTAATTCAGAACCAGTATTAATACTATTTATTTTCTCCAACTCTGTCTAACAATTTAATTTAAAATAATTATTATAGATATAGCGAATAAAACTATAACGTTTTGCTTTCAATTACAGTTTCACACTAATTCATTACTCACCATAATGATGTCGAAAGAGGCTGCGGTAGATGAGGCCGTTATAAGTCGATCTAAAAACAAATAATTTTTAAGTTTATTTTACAATCAAAAATGCGTGAAATAAATTTTTGTTGCGGCTATCATACAAAATGAATTAATAATAGTAATTATCAAAATAAGATTATGCCACTAACAATAATCATTTAACGATATATATAGAATTTTAATTAATGACACTCATATATGTATATATTTGCATGATCGCATGTAACACAATGACGCTAAATCATCAGGAATAAGTAAATGACTGCGACGTGAATACGAGAGACAAATAAATATAAATGTTTACCAATCAGTGCACAGCTGTCGCAATTATTCCGTTGTTTCGAGCGTACATGCACGCGACTACACGCGAATAAGGGAAAAACGCAGCTAATTACGGTCATTCACGCTAATTACTGACGATCACTTACGCGATTACTGCCGAAACTTACTGTACCGCGCAACTCGTTTCGAAACAAACAAAGTGAAACAAAACGCAACGACACTGCTAGCTTCTGGCATCGATCGACAACGTTTTATTCACGTTCGTTATGCACGCTCGATACGTCTCTGCGCACGAAAAATTCGAATCGCATCAACTTCATATCGAAGCGCCGGCTGATGACATCACGTTCCGAACCTCTCCAGCGAACTTCTCCGGCAAGGATCTCTGGAGAAATCCGACAGCCGCGGGACAAATACCCGTTAATTGCCCAGCTAATTGACATCTTACTCTCCGACGCTCCCGACGACGCGACGCGCCTCAGCGGGCGTACAACTATAAGGCACTACAAGATGCAGGTATTCCTATCCGCCATCTTGGTTCCACTTGGTTAAATAGTTACTTTCCATTTTCACATAAATTAGAGATGTGCGAATCAAGCATTTGCATAGTCGAATCGAATTAAATCTCTTTAATTCGAATACGAATTGAATCTGAATCGAATTTTCCCAGATTTATACATTACACGTTAATTTAAACGCAGGGTTGGGTAAGTTAATATTTTTTTTTAACTAAGTTAAGTTTTTTAACTAAATTAAAGTTAACAGTCTAGAAATTTAACTTAGTTAAGATACAAGTTAGTCTATAATAAAATTAATTGAGTTAAAAGTTAAGTTAATAAAAAAAAGTAGTTAAAAAGTTAAAGTTAAATTTTTTTATTTTATAATTTTAGGGTTTCTAAATAAAGTATATATTTGTTATACTTATTTCTGTCGAGCCGCGGAAAGAGGACCGATTTCGAAGAACTTCCTCCAACGTGATTTAACGCACAGAAGGTCCGCGAACAGTGATTACTTTCCGCGACCAGACCATATATTTATTATATTATTACAATTACCTGGATGTGTGTTCTCAAATTTGAATTTGAAGACACTAAAATAGACATGTATTTTATTTTGGGTATACAAGAAGCACTAAAAATATAACTTTAATTATAACTTTAAAGTTACATCAAAAGTTATAAATTAAGTTAAAAGTTAAGAGCCTAAAATGTAACTAGTTAAGTTAAAATTATTTAACTTTTTAACTTAACTTTTATATTTTTAACTAGGCACTACCCAACCCTATTTAAACGTAATAAATATCAAAATTTTGAATTACATTATTTTACACAATAATTTAAACAAACTGAAGACCTGTTTTCGATTTACATCTCATTACAAAGGATCATGATCTTATGTGACATTTTGAACTAGAAAATATATAATTAATAATATGTATATACACGAATAGTTCGAATGCTTTCGAATATTTTCTATATTAATCTACATGAATACATTATACATATATGAAAAATACTTATTTATTAGATAAGAATAATTGATTGCACGGAAGATATAAATGAAGCAAATAAAATAGGTGATCAATTCAAAATCGAAACTTTGTTCATTCGAAATTCTCAAACTATTCGATTTCAAATCTTACAGATTTGAAGACAAGCTCGAATCGAATCCACTGTGATTCGATTCGATTCGATTCAAATTCGATCTATTCTCACACCTCTAACATAAATAATACTGAATCTAAAATTATGTGAGTATTTTTAGACTCAGATAATGATGTCATTGCTTGTTTACTTTGGTAGAAAGTTATCGAGTTTATACCTCACTTTTAATGTGAGTTAATAGACTCAGTAAAGCATATTTCGAGCTTTATGCAGATTATAAGTAAAAACTCAGTTGAATATCACTTATTAGAATAAAAAGGAACGTACATTCAACTGAGTTATGACGTTACAAATGAGAATTATCTAAGTTTTGGTGTAAATGGAAAGCAACTAATACGTGATGAGTTTATACAAGTACGTCTGACAAAGTAAATGTACAATCAAGATGCTTTGCTGCGTTGCAGTAAATTGCAATAATAAAATAAAAAATTGTAATAATTAATAATTTCTAACTTTATTGCGGAGCAAATAAATTGGCGATTACATTGTCCACTTGGCTGGAACCAAGATAGCGAATAGGAATACCTACATCTTATAGTGCCTTGGTGAACGCGAAACGTTGAAACACCCGATAATAAGCAGCAACAGTACACCGATAACGGGCGCCGACGAGTGCCATGTCGAAGCGACGCGCACGTCGCGCCGCCGCGCCGCGCGCCGGTTAAGCGAAACATTACACGCGCGATCGCACACGCGACTTGACACGATACTGATTTAACGCGCCACGACGTTCGCGCGTCGCTCGACTCGACACGCGTTGTTCGCGGAGTTGAATCTCGATCGGATTAACGCGATACGCGGATTCCGTCGCGTCGTCGCCGCGCCGCCTCGCAGCGAAACGAGACGCGCGCGACGAGAGACTGACGACTGACTTGACTGGCAGCAACTCACCGAAGCGCGGAGGCGGAGGTGACACCAGGTGACACCACCGCGCGAGTCAAACGAAAAACCGTCGAGCCGCGTGACGCGCCGGTGACGCGCGAGCATTGTAATAAAATCGCGACCGCTACACGTGTTGCGCGTTCAACGTTAACTCGAACATATATTAACGACGGCCGATCACCGCCGCGTGTCTTAATGCGATTAATACATCAAACGCGCTCGGCCGTTCGAACGATGTTCTCGATGCTCAATTAGGCACACGATGCATCTCTCACGGTGGTGAGTGACGCGCGATACACGCCGCGCTCACGCTCCCGGCGTCCATCGGATAATTAATCTCATTTCCCTCGGTAATCGTTAGTCTTTTTTTTTACCCGTTGTTTTTATGTGCTGTGCGTACGCGCGAGCAGTGGCGATTATAAGTGGTGAACTGGGTTTTTCGACACTGGATATAGAATTCAGTGTGGCGCTGGGGGGCGACGACAAATCGTCGCTTACGCGTTACGCTTCGTATTATATTGTGGCGATTGCATCGCACAGCCTCAAATATATAAAATGTAAAATTAGAAATTAAAGTAAAATAATTTTGCGTGCTAGATACACGACGTACACAAGACATACATATACGCATGTACATTACATACAGGTCAACACACAAAAACAAAACCGGATCGGTTAGCGCGGATATCCCCGGCTTATGTACCGCGATTAAAAAGACAAAGAAATTATTGTTTAAAAAATTCAGTAACGGAACGTGATGTTTAAAAGTGGAGGACTTCGGGCAGCCGATCCGTAAAAGGTCAGGGAACCGAGAGTCAGATTTGAGACACAGAATTGTACAGTCGCAGAGACAGTCACGCGAGTTAAAATAAAAGACATAAAATTTAAGATATTGAAAATTTATTAAAATCGGACACTTAACCGAGTCCTACGCATTCCAATGTCATAACTAGATTAATTAAACAGACACGCATTAAAATTACCAAAATATTAATTTCGGATATGTGAAGCAATAATGGTTTAACAACTATACACCGCACACGTGAACAAATATTGAAATTATCTCTGACAGAATATAATTATTTTTATTAATTTACATTTAGGTATTTTACATTATTTTGTGCAAAAGATATTATATCGACTAATCGTGATTTGAGAATAATATATTATTAGATTTATTATATATTACTAACATTAATGAACTTAATGAACCATGAATAGCTTTAACTCATTCATTAAATGTACTATTTGTTTGCTATTTATATACTAAGAAAAAAATTGATTGTACAAATTAAATTTGTATAAAAATTAAAAAAAAAGAAAGTTAATCGATTCAACGATTTAAAATCATAAATAATAAGTATAAGAGGGCTAACGAGACATTATGTACGAGGTGATCTTTTTTAACTTATAATTATTATTTGTATCAACCACTGAAGAGAATCACATTAAAAGTCGAAACGTTTGGTTTGTTTATTGTTATGTATTATTGAAAAACCGATTAAAGTCATTTGAATTGTAATTATTGACAAGAACACCTAATAAAACTTGTTAGCCCTCTTACTTATTATTTATGATTTTTAATTTGTATAGTTGTTTGATCCAATGGTTGATTCAACAATTCTTCAGTTGCACAAAGAAAAGTATAGTTCATTTATGTCAACCATCAAAATTTTTAATCAAGAATTAACTAAACCAATTTAATAAAATTATTTTGTTCGAAATACTAGTATAGTATTTATTTGTGTTTGCAGGCTATTTAGTTATCCAAATAATATATTTGTTCATATTCTAAACTGACTAAACGATACTGATGGAGATAATAAATAGTGTATATTTTTAATCGAGCCGTTGAGTTAAATATTATAAATTTTTGTTGAAACAAAATAATTTAGTTCAAAAATAGTTTTTTGTTTATAAGGGTAACAAATTATTTTGTGTCTTCGTAGTAACGTTTAGTTAAACGTATCGAACTAAATATTTTGATAAGATGAAACAAATTTTGCGTTTTTCAACAAACTTTTTTTTTCTCAGTGTATCATAGATTTTCTGAACTTTATTTCTTGTCGAAACAAGTATAACTTATCAGTGATATTGAAGAAGATTGCAATTATCGAAGAAACGCGCGCACGTGTTTCGTTGCGAGTATACTAATTGGATGTCGATTAATCGCGAAACGTATTAATTATACGTACGTT